GGGTGGGCTATGCGAATAAAAGTTCCACCCACCCACCCTCGGATATTGAAATATGAGACAGAATATATATTGTGTCCCAAAAAATGAAAATTAAAAAAAGTACACACAAACATTTGATTGCATTGACGCTGCCCCTCCGGATCATGGAATTTACTATTGTTTCAAAAGCAAGCCGACGAATATCGTCGGCGTGCTAGTCCGAAGTCCGTTTTTTTTTTTTCTTTCTTGCGTGAGGCCGGACACACCTTATTCGCCAACGAAGGAAAACAACACGCGTTCCACTTGAGAAACGAACGAAGAGTCACGCGGCAGGGGCGGGGCCCCGCAGTCTGCACCTGACGCAAACGGAAAGATATTGAACATTGAGCCAAAAAGTCCAACCCCAAGAAGCAAACCCTAAATAGCACCGACCCTAACCACAAGTCGTTCTGTAGACGCTTGAAAACTAGTATGTTCGGCCGGACGGTCTGATACACATGTCGCCCGAGCACTCCCGAAAGGAACAGCCGCGACCGGCCCTAAACGGAGAGAGAGGGCACTTCTCAGAACGCCCATCCATGCGTACAGTAGGGGGGCCAATATAGGGGCAACTTCAATAATTGTGGAACTGTCCATATACTCTAGTCACAATCCCAACATGTACATGAAACCGATATATCGAATAGTGGCACTGCCCTGAATAGTGACATATTCTCCTCTTTGCCCCTACATGCCACTATATATATCGGGCCACCTACTGTATGCACTTTTGGTGGCGAGGGACTCGATGCTGTCAACAATCTCCTCGCTAATGATGCTCGCTGATTATCTGCCCAGTAGGCACTCGAATGAAGGAGACCACCAGAACGCGGACCGGAAATTTAGTCCCTTTCACTCCGCACCAAAACGCCTGGTATTTATTTGTCGTCACATCAAACATCAACCCACATCATGATTGGCGTACTCTATTCTGCTCGCCGTTGGCGATGCGCAACCCTACGCGAGCAAGGCGTTAACCGTAGGAGGCGGAAGCGAGTGACAACAACAAACACGAACATAATTAGACAGACTAAAGCAACCACGGACGAACTACTACACCTAAATACGCCATCCGTCTGTGTTAGATCGCATCGCTACACGATGGGTGGGCAGCGGACCCCAAAAAACAAAGCGTGAAAAAAAAAAAGACAAAAATACGAAAAAAGACCAAGGCCAAGAGAGTGAGCCAGACCCGACAGGCTTCAGAAAGGAGGCGGAAGAGAGCATAGAAAAAGCACCCTCCTCGCCGCTCTGAATCCCCCGAAGCTGTCACATAGGCACTGCAGCAAACATCACGGTCATCATGCCCGTTCCCTGGCAGCACCCATCGTCTCCCATACAGCCACTGGCAGATGACCGTAGAATATAGAACCCAGCAGTGCTTGCCTGCACCGCTGCTAGTAGATGGACTATTGTTGTTGGAGACCATGACTTGTTTTCGCGCTATTATAGGAAGGTTCAGACGACCTGACGCGCACCTGGAAATAACAGTCTTCGACCGGTCCTCAGCGGAGAGAGAGAAGAGGGCACTTCTCTTACACCACTTTTTATGGCTCCACAATGTTGTCAGTAGCACTTAAGGTGCACGCTCATTATGGGACGAAGATATTTTGTGCACGGGACTGGCGGAATGTGGAGGCGTGACTTTTTTTTTTAACGGCGAAAAGAAGGCACGCGCCTGTCATATCGCCCCGCGAAAGAACCGGTCAGAGCGTGCGGGAGACGGTAGTTGCAACCTTTTTTCTCCACACTCACGATACCCCAAGGCATCAAATCTGGTACCAGAAAGATCATGGGTAGAGCTAGCTCCCTCGGGGTGGCATTGCTGTTGCTGTTGCATTCTCCTTCGAAAAGTTATCGCTGGAAAACCAAACCATGAGCACACAATCCCTGCGAACTTGAACCAACCGCTCTTTGACGTGGGCACTTTAGGGTCTATCAAAACTATTGTCCCGATGCGCACGGTACCCCACGGCACCAAACGTTGGGCATGAAAGATGGAGCAGAGAGCTACCTCCCGCCGAGTGGCCTCTCTAGTGCTGTTACTTCCTCCTTCGGATTGTTATCGGTGGATAACCAAACCCGTGGCGGCCAAAAACATGGACCTTGCACTAACCGCTCGCGGCCGTTGACGGTTGTGCACAGCACAAACTTGTTTTCCCGGCGCACTCGGCACCTCACGGTCCCAAACCTTGGCATTGCCCAACAGCCCATGGCATTACCTCCTTCCAGATACCATTCATGAGGCACTTCGCTAAAAGTATTCGTGGAGATATCGGTGATCACGGCCTTCCCACAAACGATGCTGAAGGGGGTCTACGTGTGCGGTAGGGGTAGCAGCTTGACGTGGATTGGCGGAAGTCCCGCCGTGCAGCTTTCTTGCCCCTTCCCGACTCGAGAAAAGTTGCAAAACGTTTCCGCCAGATTGCAGCTTTTCGTTCCGGAGAAAAGGCTTCAAAACTTTTCGCGCAACTTTTAGCTCCCATACTGAGCGTACATTAGCAAAGTTGCAAGAAAAGTTGAAGAACTTTAACTTTTCTTGCAACATTGTGGAGCCATAAAAAGCGGTGTCATCACAACGCCCATCCGTGCGTATGCACTGTTTGTGCTGAGGGACTCCACACTGTCAATAATCTCTCTACTCCACGCCGTCAACATCTCGCTAATCGTGCTCGCTGATGATCTGTCTAGTACACACGATCACACTCGAATGAAGGAGACCACCAGAGCGCGGACCGGTAGTTTACTCCCGCTCTTTCGGAAAGAACGAAATACCCCCGGGCGAACTTGCATTTGTAGTCACAAGAATATCATGATAAAATCATGATTGTTTGACGCACTGTTTTGTTTGCCGCTACCGAGAGCGAGGAAACCCCTTGCATAGCTTCCTACGCACATGAGTGTGCCGCCGTCGACCCTATCCCTCGAGCTCACACACAGCCACACCCAATATATGGCAAGAAAAACATCCCCCAACAAAACAAAAATAAATTGGTGGGTGGGCGGATGGAGGACCCAAAAAAAAAGGTTTTGATACAATAAAAAAAAATCATACAACCGTAAAAAAGAGCCAGACAGACTCGACAGGCTTCAGCGAGGAGGCGGAGAAGAGCATAGAAAAATCACCTTCGCCGCTCTGAACCCCCGCAAGCTCTCTCATAGGCACTGCTGCAAACATTATGGCCACGCCCATTACCTGGCAGCGCCCATCGTATCACATGCAGCACCCGGGTGCACGGGTAGCCTCGTTTACTCAGACAGCAACAAACACTAGTAACTATGGAATCTACGGGCGGAATTCTTTTCTTCGTGGACTTTATTTCTTTGTGGTAATTTTTGTAATGATAACGAACACAATGAACATGACTAGAAGCGACTAAGCACCACGGACGAAGTACCTCAATACGCCTGCCGTCCGTGTTAGATGTGCACCGCTACAAGAAAGGCGTCGACCGTTCTCATAGCAACTACGTGTGTACACTAGCAGAGATTGTTCATCGCTCAAGTTCCCAATTACGTACGCAGCAAACATGCATGCTTGCGGCGGACCGTCTGTGTTGTTAGTCTTCGTCTCGAACTGCTGTTGTTGTTCACGGATAACGACACAGACAAAAAGGAAGAGACGCGTATCGTTACCTATACGCGAGCAACGCCCACAACCAAGCGAGAGACGACTACCTTACGAGCTTCGGAGCACATTTTGAGCATCACTCAGGAAGCAATCAATCACACACAAGCGCAAACAAAAACAGGAAGATTGTGGCGCGCAGGACGCAGGACCCCCATTCTCTGTTCAACCCGCCGTTCCCATGGCGAAACAAACAAGGAACAATCGCCGAGTCGTGTCGGCCAAAGGAGGCGGAAGTTGCTCAAACGCGGGGAGGGTTCACGGTTTTGCGATTCCCTACCGAACCATACTTGAGGCGCCACGAGAGTTGCACTGTAGTTCAAGATCAACATTTGAGGCCGGGTCGGGCAAGGGGTGGGCTATGCGAATAAAAATGACACGGACAGAAAGTGAGTTTAGGTTGACAGAGACCCAAATTCAACCAAGCTTGGGAATTGGAAGCTAGTGAACTTTGCGATAGCTTTGAAGGGGTACATGGACACCTGCTGGATATTTCAATAGGCCGATGAAGAAAATATCGGTACCTATTGTTACGCCTCTTTTTTCGTTTTCCTGTTCTTTTTGTTTTTCTTCCCCGGATGACTTTCTCTCTTTTTCTGTGCAGTACCAACATTGAACCAGGGTATGTACCTCTCTCGCCGCCCAACATAGCGTGTGCGTAGAAGGGAGCGGGTTACCCCAGACTATGTGTCGTTGATTTACACTGGCTTGTTGCGGACCCTTCGGGTCCATTTTATGATTGAGAATACAATTTCTAGGTAAGTTTGCCTTTGACTACGGGAATCGCTCGGTCAAATGGTCATACAAATGTCTCTACAAATACTGCTTGCTGTAACGATTTTTTTTCGCGGCCCGCGCGTGCATGTGTATGCCGCATGCAAGCACGCCGCTCCATGTATATATGGTGCACAAGAACATGATAGAACTGAAGGTGGTGCGTGTATACTGCTGTACCGCTGCGGCGGCTGTGTGTCTGCTCTACTACTGCTGGCTGGGGTTTGTCGATTCGCCCGGTCTTCTTCAAACTCTCGGGGAGAGACGCGCCTTGACGCCGTCCACGCTGGATCATGCCCTCCCGATTACATTTGCAATCAACTAGATACAGCAGTGAAAATCGAGAGTTTAATCTGTCCGACGTCCAAAACTACCTCAAGCTCCACGCGTTCTGCATTGATTTGCATAATCTTTCCTGACAGGGCGACAACATTGCATATGTATGTGGGACAATGCTGTTCCACCATGGCGGCTATGGTATCTATCTGCCGCAGTATATTTCGCGCCCGTTACTGTGAGCCGTGAGGAGGTGCGCGATCCAAGTACTGCACAGTTTCTGCACTCCGCACAGAGGCGACTCTCACAAACAAAAAACCGCTTGCTGTGATGACCAGAGGTTAAGGCACCTATTGCGCGAGTGTCCAGTGCAACCTGCCTGTTCCTTGTCTACTTCCCGGATACATAATGCTCTGAAGGTTGCATCGACTGCCCTTTGGTCTTTAGTGGTGGCCCGATACTGAGTGAGGAGACTGGGGAGGTGTCGCGCTCGTGATGCATCATAGAGCAGTTCACCCACACGGAGAGCGCAGATATCTGAAATCGGTTCAGGCAAACCGATGGCCCAGCACGGAACCCAGAACCCAGACACGACCGACGTCCACGAGACTTCGCTAACCGATGTCGTGTTTGACTGATTTCGAAAACGACCGAGGAAGCACCCGAAAATCAGACACGGACACGGGACACCAAGTGGGACACCAAGCGGGATGTGTTGCGCAACAAAAATTCGTTGTCCCACAGATCAGCCGTTGGGGATTATCTCCAACAGCATAATGCGTGCCACATACGGCTCAAGGTAAGACATTCCCGGGAATAACATTTGGCTTCAGAAACACTTAACACGGGGTGCTGAACACAGGGTGTGATAAAGTTTAGGTAGCAGGGGCCATGAAGGGGATGTGATAACCAGGGAGTGTGATACCACTGCCCAGGGACCGAACGGGGAGTGGTAACTAGGGGGGGGTGTTCAGCACTGCAATGAAATTTCTATCGTGCCTGCTGCACGTACAGGGGGGCTTGCAAAGAGCAATAGTACTGCTGCCGCACTTGCAACGTGTTTGAGCGCGGTGATACCACACTGCCTACGTGAACGTCCTGCCGAGCGTACTTCATATTTCTGACTTGCAGATGGGTGGAAATAACGGGGGAGGAGGTGATGAACCCCCTGATGACATTACCCTGGCCATGAACGCTAACAGTGCCTTCATCGACAACAGCGAAAATGCTGCACCACCAACGCCTGGTGCAAAAGAGAACGTAATAGTGCCAATTCAAAGGTTGGTTGACTGGTGCATGCATGTGCAACGTTGATCCGTCCTCTTAGCCGAAACAAGCGTATTTTTAATGCTGCAGGTCCGCTCGCGAAACTCGCCTGTTGGTTTCCCATGAATTCCCACACTCCATCTGAAGCCAGAACGAGGAACGCGTCGCCCTCCGAAATACTCCTAACCTTTATCTGTAGGTGGTCACAAACAACGAATCGTAGTCTGTGAGATTTCGATCTTTCAACGAACGGATTGTTGACAAGTTGAAGCAGAAAATTTAATAACCAAAACAAACAGGGCAAGACATGGCTCAAGTCGTAATAATTCGCAACTTTCCCTGACGTGGACGATGCGTACCTCCGGTGTGGCAATGACCCCCACCTCCTTCACGGCATGGTCTCCGATTGACCTGGACATTGCCTGGCCGGGACATTTGTGAACGGCGGGAATATCGCACACACTTCAGAATGCACTAGCCCGGTATGACACGAATGGTGAAGGGAAAACCAAACAAGATTGGGGGGTTGGACTTGTGTCGCTGTCTGATGATGCTTCGACCATACATTCGTTCATATGACTCGACTATCCGTCGACGTTCGGCCCAAACACTTTGCATATCTCGGGCGCCAAACACAGCGTTCAATGCTCAATGGCGGCCATCCAAGTGTGGTGCACGAAAAAACCTACTGCCCCCTTCGTGTTTTCGAGGTATAGTCACCAGCCCGATCCTCGTCAGCTCTTGGTCGAGCCATACTCTGGCGCTCAGTCCTTCCTCTGGAGGAGGGCTCACGAAGCCACCGCATGATTCGATGCGCTCCAACTCTTCGGGCTTGTCCGGGTTGTGATCGTCTGAAAGTGCTACCGGCACCTGCCAGAAGGGAGGAAAGAGAACAAAGTGTCACCATCGTAATATAATGCCAGCTCCAGTGGTTCATTTACCCTTCTTTGAGTGCTCATGAAACTCACGCATGTCGACCTAACTCTATCATCTACTGCAAGCAAAATGACGGGGACGTCTGGAAGAATAACATATTAAACCGGTACTTGCCAGTCCTGAAGGTTCCACTTCCGCGCTGCTCCCGTCGGCTGAACCTGCTCTCTTCTCTGTTCCTAGCACAACCCTGGAGTCTCCGGCGTTTGCTACCCAAACACGATCATCTCTGTACAGTACGACTGCAGCGGTCGTCCCACTGTGCGCAATGGAAAGAGGGGGGTCCATATCACTCAGACTTTTCAAGGTTCTTGCGTGCATGCAATGCGTAGCGCGTAAAAGCGGGCGACGACGAGGTGATGCCAGCGGATATTTACAACACCTTCTTGAGAGAGGTCAACAGCGGAGGGATCGTGACACAGGAACCTTACGTAGGGCGACTACCCGATGGGAAAGTCTGGTACTCAAAACAAGGAAGAGTCAAACGTGCTCGAGTCAAGGATCCCAAACTTCAACCCCGTTTCTGCTTCAGATTCTCTGCAAAAGATGGATCGAATGTTGTCAAATTCGAGCCGTTATTGTTCATTTTGATCAAACATACCTGTAGACGTGCTCATTATCCTTCGCAGCTTCACGGAGTGCTTTGTCTACTTCTTCGAATGTCTCCTGGAGGGCAAGCTCAGGGTTGTCGTGCAATCGTGGGTGGCCCGCCAATCTATTTGGCATCTCGTTCATGACGTAGTTGCTGGAAGACGCATGGTATATTAGTTGGCACGAGACGTTCGACGAGTTACGACCCGGTTCCTGGTCAATTTGTGCATGACTGCAATGCTGGGAATGGATGACAAGCACTGCTTCACATCACGAGAAGATACATTTTCAAACCTATGCGCCTCATACTTGGGGTCCGAAAACCAAAGAAAAACAGCGAAGATATAGAACAAACGACATCCGCCTTTGGCCGTAACCTTAAAAACGATTGACTTGAATCCGCCGCACGAGGAATTCTTCTGTGCGACCTCAGATTAAAGCTCTTCAGATAGAGAGGCAGGGTTGCGCCACCACATTTCAACTGAAAGAAAGCGTTTCAGCAGAAACAGCCCCTCCAACAAATAGCATGGCCTGTTTATCAACCCGTCGTAATAAATGATACTTTCCACATTTGAATACTCCGCATTCATGCATTCTTTTGGCCTCACGGAGACTCACCTGACCATGTCGCCGCTCTCGCCGTGCCCATCGTAAACGCAAAGCAGAGCACAGGTCTCCGAACCCATGAAAGGATGCACCACGCACGCCCTGTCTTGGTTAATTTTGGCCAGATCCTGATCGAAGCAAGCGGTATCATCGATCGCGTGAACAACTCAGCATACAAGTATCATCACCTCTCTTGACGACTGCTGTGTACATTGAAGAAATTGGGAGACTTGGCCGTTGTCATGCGGCAGGCTCTTCGAGACGTATCTCACTCATGTACACTACGGGGGGAAAGTAATGTCGACCAAACCGTTAGCCGGCAGTATTTCACTCAAATGCAAATATTCGGGAGCTCGAGAGCAGAGATTGTGTACTCGTACTATTGAATTGGTTCCAGCCGAATGGTCCCAATGCTTTCAAGTATGTACTTCGAATGTCAAGCCAGTCGCTGTCGCTCCTCGGTCCAGGTTTGAGGCCGGTTTCAACGTATCAATAATATGCCGAACACGTGCAATATGGAAGTATTGCCGTAAGCCCGCGGCTGCCTCTCCAATTGTTTTTTTTTTGTTGATCAGTTTGTTGTTGTCTCGGTACGGCGATGGCGTCACGAAAACGGATAGAAAACTGCTCCTATGTACTGCTGTGACTTCATTCGAGTGATTCCTTAGTTTTTTTATTTTGTATCGATTCGATGGTGTCACGGGTGGATAGAAGGTACGACTCCTCGGTACGACGCGGTGCCACTACCAGATGGACACTACTCCGGCATACTGCAATAGGCTAGCAGCAGTCCAGTGCATGCAGCAGCGCCAGCTGTGATCCCGGTGTCGAGATGGTCAGGGGCGGTCACCGCCAAGAGGCAACGGGTTGGGATTTCTTGCGCTCCGAAAATCTTTGTTTGCCCTGGTCGCGGCTGCCTCCAATTCTTAGAATTGCAATATTCTTGCCGCCGGTTCTGGGGACGCACGACGACGTCACGAACGCGTGTAAACCAGAAGTTATGCACAAGAACAAAACAAGCATCTCCCCGTCTACTATATAGAGTGCCGTGTGCCTACGGCTGCTTCCCCAATTGATTTTAATTTCATCAAGTACAAGTGTGCCCACGGCTGCTTCCCCAAATGATGTTAATTCCATCAAGTTGCGATATGGTGGCGTCACGAACGGGGATATAGAAAGAAAGAAAGGTACTAGAGCAGTACGCGCCGTGTGCTGCTAAAGACTCCAAAAGCCTCTCTCGGTACGGTGCGGCGTCACGAATGCATACTAGACAGTCAGTGTGTTACGTACTGCTGCTACTGCTGGTGCTGGTGCTATACTAGATAGGGTGGGGTAACGAGCTGCGCGGTGTTGCGACTCAATACCTTGCAGTAGTCTCATCTGCGATGCTGATGGTGCACGAAATCCGACACATATCAGCGTGAATCGTTTGTGGTACAGCTACGCGTACATCAGAGGGACAGGCGTGCGACGGGAGCGACGATGGTTGTATGTGCGGCCCCCGTTCAAAATTTTGCACTTTACATGCGGTTGTTTCTTTCCGTTGATGCACATGCACACACCCACGAGGAAGCAATATGTGAAGTCTTCCCTCTGTGCGGACGCTAACACGCACATCTGGCCATCTGGAAGAGGCGCGCATGCGGCTATACCTGGCGGCGAGCGTATCGCACATCACACCGTCGAGGAGCACGACCAGTAGCGTAGACACAGGATTGTGACAAGACAGATGGAAAATACTGCGTCAGGCTAATAACTTGCCCGCCACATTCGTCTCAAGCCTTCCGAGTTTCACGCCAAGTGAAAGCAGGCAGTCTACATATTGTACATCACGGGACATTATTACAACATGAACCAAAAACAACAAAGCCGTTGATGGTCATTACTTTGATGCGAGAGACCCAGCGGCAGCAACAACAGTAGCTAGCGAGGCGCAAGTGAGTACGCAACCTTAACCGATCCCGCGGGGAACCATCCTGATAAAACACACAGCAGCAGTAGACCGTCACGCCCTCAGCGGTTTCTCTCGATGGTAGGTGTGATCCGGACTTGGGAAGGTGTGTTCCGTTGTGTGTTCGTTTGTGATCATCGGTCTGCTGTTTTTGGAGGAGCAGTCGGTTGGACCCTCACTCAACATCAATAAACACCAGGTTACACATGGCGCATGACTATATACCTACGGCGCACAGGTCGTTTTGGCCCGGCCCCTCCTGGTTTTCATAGCTGGTCTCGGATCAGCGTCCCAGCGGTGATGATGTGATTTTGGTGGTGTTGTTGTCTCTTTCTCTCTGTCTTCTCCTGGTTTCAATGTTTCAATCGCTCGCGCGCGCGATCTCCGCTTTGTGCACGCCTTTTCGCGGAGAAACCCAGGGGTTGGGGAGCAACATCTCCTACGAATTTAGGGTACAAACGCTTGTGTAGCACGGCCATCTGCTATCGGAGCACGAGCAAACCAGTGTGACGAAGAGTGCGCTATTTTTCTTCTTAAGAAGCGAACAGATCGTCAGTTGTCGCCCTGTAGATGTCATCCTGGTCCCAAAGGTGGGATATATATCGGCTTCCCGGAAACCAAGTTTGGGGCCCCTGCTACACGCGGCGGAATAGGTCGACATATACTTTTAGATCCTTTTTCTTCCCTCCTAGGGATGAAGGGAAAAAAGTCGCGTTTCGATCTCCGCGGCTCATTATTATACGATCATGGCGTCACGACGAACAGAAAATAGCACAAAGAAAAGAAGGTGGTTGGGGCCGACGCGATGCTACTGTCTGTGTGCATATGAACAGTTATACATTTGTGTTGGCTGGTCGTTAGCAGTGGAGGCTGTTCGGGTGTTATTTTCCCTTCTGTTTCCTAGCGGCTGTTCGACTTGGAGAGTCTTTCATGTTCTTTGAAGCAGCTGCAACATTCTTTTCCTTCTTTCTAGCACAGCAGTAGCGGGTAGAATAGCGAAGAATACCTTGCTTGGTCACGGGTACCCACATTACCGCAGTTTCGAAAACGCACACGTCTGTACTCCGTGGTTGCGCACGCTGGAGGAACACAAAAAACACGCCCGACCGCGAGAAAGGTCTGAACCGCTTAGTAAAGCGGGTAGGCCGTTCAAGTACTGTAGCAATCTAAGAGGTGGGGGGGGGACGCCGTTGTGGCTCGAAGCGCGACTGATTGGTGATGCGAGGTTAGCTGTCTGTCTGTCAGTCGGTTCCATTTGCCCTCTCTTCAACTCAGAACAACAACCGCCGCCTGTTTGTTGATTTTCTCTTTCCTACTGCTGCCATCGACTACCACGTTTGTGCCGCTGTGCTGCTGCTGCTGTTTTGTTCTGCTGCTCGGGTCTTGGCTGCTCATATTGCATTATCACACCTCCTCCCTGGCTCTCACCCTTCGCGAGGCACAGGCAAACAAACGTTGGGGTACACACTGTAGCAAACAAGCACCCACGACCGGCAGCAGCACAGCTTGCACAAAGTCGGAACGTTGGACCGAACATAGAACGACGTTGCATGAACGTAGAACAAAGAGTGATGACAAAATGGTTCTGCGCCCAGGACGCTGCGGACGTGAGTTTGTCTATTTGAATTTGTTCCCCCCCCCCCCCGGTGTCCCCCCTTCGATGTTTGCCATCGGGGATGGGTTTTCGTCGCTTGGCAACGACGTTGTAAAACAAGCCGCCCCCCCCGGTGTTTGCCATCGGGGTTGGGATTTCGTCGCTTGGCAGCGATGTTGTAAAACAAGCCGATTCACTTAGTGAGCTCCGCAACCAGGTTGCCGCTTTTTTTTTTTTGCATTTTTTTTTTTTTTTTGCGGTAACCATGAATGGTGGTCGAGTAGATAATATTGTGCGGGGCCGAGAACCCTCACTCCGCGCAAAGGGGATAATCGCACCACGTTGTGTTAAATTGGTCAAACACCCTCGAGGCAGTTACACAGAGCTTCAAACTGTCTCTGGAAGTGACAGCACCAGAATACATTAAGTCATACGTAGCTGTCATCCGTACGCAAGGAAGTAAGCACAAGATGCCACACACCCTCAGCGGAGTGCAGCGCACCCTTCATGCGACTCGCCGAATACCTCACGGCGCTTCGCGCTTGGTGATGTGAGAGCGTGGTCTGATGAGAACCCGGGGTGCTCCGTCCCGGCTTTGTAGGGATGCGAGGTCGATGGTCTAACGACTACGGCATGCACGACTATGAGTACACCCCCCCCCAACCTCCCCCCGGTGTTTGCCATCGGGGTTGGGTGTTCGTCGCTTGGCAGCGATGTTGTAAAACAAGCCGATCACTTCGTGAGCTCGGCAACCAGGTGGCCGCTTCTTTTTTTTTGCCTTTGTTTTTTGTTTTTGCGGTAACGTTGAACGGTGGTCGAGTAGATAATATTGTGCGGGGCCGAGAACTCTCACTCCGCGCAAAGGGGATGATCGCACCACGTTGTGTTACATTGGTCAAGCACCCTCGAGGCAGTTACAGTGCTAACAACTGTCTCTGGAAGTGAGAGCACCAGAATAAATTAAGTCATACGCAGCTGTCATCCGTACGAAAGGAAGTAAGCACAAGATGCCGAACACCCTTAGCAGGATGCAGCTCACCCTCCATGCGACCCGCCGAATACCTCGCGGCGCTTCGTGCTTGGTGATGTGAGAGCCTGGTCTGATGAGAACCCGGCGTGCTCCGTCCCGGCTTTGTAGGGATGCGAGGTCGACAGTCTAACGACTACCGCATGCTCGACTATGAGTTCACCCCCCCCCCACACCTGTTTGCCATCGGGGTTGGGTTTTCGTCGCTTGGCAGCGATGTTGTAAAACAAGCCGATCACTTCGTGAGCTCGGCAACCAGGTGACCGCTGATTTTTTGCTTTTTTTTTTTATGCGGTAACCTTGAATGGTGGTCGAGTAGATTATGTTGTGCGGAGTCGAGAACCCTCACTCCGCGCAAAGGGGATGGTTGCACCACGTTGTGTTAAATTAGTCAAGCACCCTCGAGGCAGTTACAGTGCTAACAACTGTCTCTGGAAGTGAGAGCACCAGAAAATAAATTAAGTCATACGCAGCTGTCATCCGTACGAAAGGAAGTAAGCACAAGATGCGGAACACCCATAGCAGGATGCAGCGCACGCTTCATGCGACTCGCCGA